AATCCACAAGCTTTATACTCACTCTGTCTAATCCACACCTCGAATGTTTCCCTGTCTAATCCACAAGCTCTATACTCACTCTGTCTACTGCACACCTCGGATGTTCCCCTGTCTAATCCACAAGCGTTATACTCACTCTGTCTAATACAGCTTTATACTCACTCTTTCTAATATACACCTCGGATAATCCCCTGTCTATTCCACAAGCTTTATACTCCCTAATCCACAAGCTTTATACTCATTTATACTCACTCTGTCTAATACACCCCTCTCCCTCTGTCTACTCCACACCTCGGATGATCCCCTGTCTAATTCACAAGCTTTATACTCACTCTGTCTACCTGTCTAATCCACAAGCTTTATGCTCACTCTGTCTAGTCCACACCTCGGGTGGCCCCTTGTCTAATCCACAAGTTTTATATTCACTCTGTCTAATACACACCTCAGATGTTCCCCTTTTTAATCCACAAGCTTTATAATACACCTCGGATGTTCCCCTGTCTATCCACAAGCTTTATATTCACTCTGTCTAATCCACACCTCGGATATCCCCCTGTCTAATCCACAAGCTTTTATACTCACTCTGTCTACTACACACCTTGGATGTTCCCCTTTCTAATCCACAAGCTTTTATACTCACTCTGTCTTATACACACCTCGGATGTTCCCCTTTTTAATCCACAAGCTTTATACTCACACTGTCTAATCCACAACTCGGATGTTCCCCGGTCTAATCCACAAGCTTTATAGTCACTCTGTCTAATACATACCTCTGATGTTCCCCTTTCTAATCCACAAGCTTTTATACTCACTCTGTCTAATACAAAAGCTTTATACTCACTCTGTCTAATACACTCCTCGGATGTTCCCCTTTCTAATTCACTTCCTATGATCTGACTCCCTGTCTAATCCACAAGCTTTTATACTAACTCTGTCTTATACACACCTCGGATGTTCCCATGTCTAATCCACAAGCTTTATACACACTCTGTCTAGTCCACACCTCGGATGGCCACTTGTCTAATCCACAAGCTTTATACTTACTCTGTCTAATACATACCTCGGATGTTCCCTTGTCTAATCCACAAGCTTTATACACACTCTGTCTAGTCCACACCTCGGATGGCCACTTGTCTAATCCACAAGCTTTATATTCACTCTGTCTAATCCACACCTCGAATGTTCCCCTGTCTAATCCACAAGCGTTATACTCACTCTGTCTAATACACGCCTCGGATGTTCCCCTTTTTAATCCACAAGCTTTATACTCTCACTCTGTCTACTACACACCTCGGGTGTTCCCCTGTCTAATCCACAAGCGTTATACTCACTCTGTCTAATACAAAAGCTTTATACTCACTCTGTCTAATCCACACCTCGAATGTTCCCCTGTCTAATCCACAAGCGTTATACTCACTCTGTCTAATATACCCCTCGGATGTTCCCCTTTCTAATCCACTCGGATGTTCCCCTTTCTAATCCACTCGGATGTTCCCCTTTCTAATCCACAAGCTTTTAATTCACTCTGTCTAATACACACCTCAGATGTTCCCCTGTCTAATCCACAAGCGTTATACTCACTCTGTCTAATACAGCTTTATACTCACTCTTTCTAATTTACACCTCGGATAATTCCCCGTTTAGTCCACAAGCTTTATACTCACTCTGCCTAATATACACCTCGGATGTTCCTCTGTCTAATCCACAAGCTTTATAATCACTCTGTCTAATACACACCTCGGGTGTTCCCCGTTTTAATACACAAGCTTTATACTCACTCTTTCTAATCCACACCTCGGATAATCCCCTGTCTATTCCACAAGCTTTATCCTCACTCTGTCTATTCCACACCTCGGATCTTCCCCTGTCTAATCCACAAGCTTAATACTCACTCTGTCTAATCCACACCTCGGATCTTCCCCTGTCTAATCCACAAGCTTTCTAATCCACAAGCTTTATACTCTCTCTGTCTAATACACACTTCGGATGTTCCCCTGTCTAATCCGCAAGCTTTATACTCACTCTGTCTACTACACACCTTGGATGTTCCCCTTTCTAATCCACTCGGATGTTCCCCTTTCTAATCCACTCGGATGTTCCCCTTTCTAATCAACAAGCTTTTATACTCACTCTGTCTAATACAAAAGCTTTATACTCACTCTGTCTAGGCCACACCTCGGATGGCCCCTTGTCTAATCCACAAGCTTTATATTCACTCTGTCTAATACACACCTCGGATGTTCCCCTGTCTATTCCACAAGCTTTATACTCACTCTGTCTAATATACACCTCGGATGTCCGCCTGTCTAATCCACAAGCTTTATACTCACTCTGTCTAATATACACCTTGGATGTTCCCCTGTCTAATCCACAAGCTTTTGTACTCACTCTGTCTACTACACAACTTTGATGTTCCCCTTTCTAATTCACAAGCTTTATACTCACTCTGTCTAATATACACCTCGGATGTTCCCCTTTCTAATCAACAAGCTTTTATACTCACTCTGTCTACTACACACCTTTGATGTTCCCCTTTCTAATCCACAAGCTTTATACTCACTCTGTCTAATACACACCTTTGATGTTCCCCTGTCTAATCCACAAGCTTTATACTCACTCTGTCTACTCCATACCTTGGTTGTCCCCTTGTCTAATCCACAAGCTTTATACTCACTCTGCCTAATATACACCTCGGATGTTCCTCTGTCTAATCCACAAGCTTTATACTCACTCTGTCTAATACACACCTTGGATGTTCCCCTTTCTAATCCACAAGCTTTATACTCACTCTGTCTAATACACACCTTGGATGTTCCCCTTTCTAATCCACAAGCTTTTATACTCACTTTGTCTTTACCACCACTCGTTGGTTTACTTGGTCTAATCTCACCCCGTAAGTTCACTTTGTCTTATCCCAACAAGGTATGTTCACTTTGTTTATGTTCACCCCGTACATATGTTCATTGTGTCTACGTTCACCCCCCCGTATATATGTTCATTTTGTCTACGTTCACCCCGCACATATGTTCATTTTGTCTATGTTCACCCCGAATATATGTTCATTTTGTCTACGTTCACCCCCCCGCACATATGTTCATTTTGTCTATGTTCACCCCGAATATATGTTCATTTTGTCTACGTTCACCCCCCCGTATATATGTTCACTTTGTTTATGTTCACCCCGTATATATGTTCATTTTGTCTACGTTCACCCCCCCGTATATATGTTCATTTTGTCTACGTTCACCCCCCCGTATATATGTTCATTTTGTCTATGTTCACTCCGTATATATGTTCACTTTGTCTATGTTCACCCCGTATATGTTCACCTTGTCTATGTTCACCCCGTTGAATGTTTACTTTGTCTATGTTCACCCCGTATATATGTTCATTTTGTCTATGTTCACCCCGTATATATGTTCATTTTGTCTATGATCAACCCATATATATGTTCACTTTGTCTATGTTCACACCCCGTACATATGTTCGCTTTGTCTATGTTCAACCCGTATATATGTTCACTTTGTCTAATGCACTCCAAGTATGTTGACGTTGTCTTATCCAAACTGTATGTTCAGTATTTCTTATTCCCATCCAGAATGTTCACTTTGTCCAATCCACACCTCGGATGTTTACTTTGTATAATCTACAACCTGTATGTTCACTTTGTCCAATTTCATTGAACCATGTTTTTCATTCTAATCCACACCTCAGTTTCACATCGATGTATGTAAAACTGAAATCGTGTAACATTTTGTGAAATACCTGGTTAAAAGATTTTATGCGATTTGAATTTCTAAATGAACATAATATATTGGGTAACCCTATTGTAAACTTTATGCCAAATTTTACTAAAACTTGTTAAGAATGTAGCCTTCTGTCTTGAGTAGTTTGTAATAATGTAAACACATGTATATGAAACTACTACTTCGCTCTCTTTTCCACTGGAATATGTCATACATAGCAAAACTAAAGGCTTAGTGTGCGCCACCTTGTGAACGAGACGAGAAGACTAGTCTGATCCTGAGTCCTGAGTCTGTACAAAAGAATCTCTCGGTCGCTGAACGGTAAAATTGACAGGATTTGACTGCGGTGTCGCTTCTCTTTAATCTTTAAGTGACAGGTATCAGCCTAGAGCTTGGTCAGGTTTATTATTCCTTCGATGTATATGTATACTGTTTACTTCGCCCAGACAGTTTTTACCCTTCGTCCATTTAGCCCGATGTTCCTTTCGCTCCTCACAATTAACCATGCACTATATATATTACTTACATTCGCTGTAATGATAAATTCGTCTTTATAACAGAGGTAGACTTGCTACCATCCCCTAAGATTTTATGAAGAATTTCTCAACTGCATTTTACTACTAGCTTATCTCCCCCTAGTTTAGAACTTTCAGACATCCAAGTGATCAAATTTTTGTAGCTAAACATTTTTCTTAATAATTCAATATTCTAGAGTAAATAGGCTAATTTTACCCTACAGTGAGTATCCCGGTATACAGTACATCTACTGCATTAACTATACTTAACATTAACTATACTTTACATTAACTATATTTTACATTAACTATACTTTGCATTAGCTATACTTTACATTAACTATACTTTACATTAAATTAACTATACTTTACATTAACTTTACTTTACATTAACTATACTTTACATTAACTTTATTTTACATTAACTGTACTTTACATTAACTTTACTTTACATTAACTAACATTAACTATACTTCACATTAACTATACTTTACATTAACTATACTTTACATAACTATACTTTACATTAACTTTACTTTACATTAACTATACTTTACATTAACTATACTTTACATTAACTATGCTTTACATTAACTTTACTTTATATTAACTATATTTTACATTAACTGTACTTTACATTAACTTTACTTTACATTAACTAACATTAACTATACTTTACATTAACTATACTTTACATTAACTATACTTTACACACATCTGTTGCTGCGTTGTGTTCCAGAAAGACATGTGCTGTCCGAAGCGATTCCTAGTTGTGGGACTAGGCTTTCTAGGGCTGCTGTTTTCTATTGGCTACAGGGCGGTGTTTGCCCTGGTGATGGTAGACGTCACCAAAAAGACATCTTCTCATCAAAAGGTAAATATTTACCTTTTCTAGGGATTCTGGTCTCATTGGTAAAAAGGTATTTCAAAACATGAAACACTGTCTGTAAAAGATATCGCTAAAAATTTGAAAAATAAAATATTTTACTAACCAAACTTAACACCCGTACTTTTGAAAACAGTTCTTGCCATTGTCTTACCTGAGTAACACGCAGATAACCTCTGCACTGGATGGGTAAATCAAAAGTTTGATTATTTTGCAATGACGCACATTAAACAAACTGTTGCACTTAGTCCAATTTCAAGCTAACAAATGGGGAACTATTTACAACAACATCAGTACCAAAGAGAACACGGACATTATATAAGAGACGTGCTATCTTCCTGCTTATAAATATATACATTAGGAATGTAAGCAACATCCTCCGGTATTAGTGCACAGAGCTGTTTCCTATGCCAAGGTACTCACTGACATAGTATCTAGCACCAAGGCACATATAGCGTACACTCTTTCCCCAGCACTGTACACTGAGTCCAGAACGTGTCGAGGTGTCCTGTTCAGTGACCTAATGCCCCCGTAATCCCTCCTCAGTATGTGGATCCATCCTTTACAGGATGTACTTGAGTCTAAATAAATAGTGCATTACCTGATTGTCTTTTCCTCCGTTCTCGTCGATCTGCGAGATCACGGCCTTTTACAACTATTTTAGGTCGAATCCGATTTATGAGGAAATTTGGCTATTACAAAAATATAAGATACTAATCCGGAGAGCGCTTCCCACTATTCAAACATCGATAACGTCTAAAGATCATCGAAAGTAATTTTTGTGGCCCACGAAAGGATACTCGCAATTTGATAAACATCATGCCAATATTTTACTTGTGTGCTTGTCATATTCGTCTGATAGCACCTATAGCACATCACCAGATGACAACGGCACAGCTATATTTGATCTACAATTTCATATCAGATTGTTGTTTAATCAAACTTGAAGTTATTGCGAACAGTTGGACCAGCTTTTCACAATAGGACCTAAACCTTAAGTTGTTTAAAACTATGGAATAGGTTTAATTAATACAACACATTTCGTTCTTTAAATGTTGTCTCCATTTGATCACTGCTACTTTTGATTAAGATTAATGTCATTCATTTGAAAGTTAAAAACTAGATGGCAACCTGTACTGATCCTAGACTTTTGGTTATCTGGGAGAAGTCGTCTAAGACTTTATCAAATATATATATATTCGCTGTGAACGTGAGAGTGAATCAAACCTATTCATTTGAACGAACGTAATAACCATTATTCCCCGCATGATACTGACCTAATAGTATGAACTCAACCTTCTGGTTGTACTGAAGATGATTGTGAGGTTTTTTTTATTGATTATAAATCAAAATGATGCAATGCTAGACGGAGCTAAACCGCCAAAAAAAAAAAAAGAACTGGGTTAGGACTTTGACGTTATATTTATGTTATTTTCAAATATTTCAAGGTCATTTATTGCAACAAAGGGTACAACCAAATTTCATTCCTCTAGACCTGATCAAAGTTTCTAGAATGGTTTGGCTTATTAAAAAGTGTCTGTGACCTTGAGATTGGGTAATGGTACTGCATTTGGAGAAACTTGAGAGTCATTTATCACTGCATTATATTTGCAAAATAGTATGACCCTTAGCACACCATATCCTCAAACTTGGGAAGAATAGTTTTTGAATTTTATCACTAAAGTACTTTTGAAACGTGATTCTTACCAAAAACCGAATGACCTCCGACTTCAAGAGAATTGGCGCCTTGTCGGTTTACATACAATATTTAATGATGCTTGGCCTTAAAGCGTTAAAGAGGTTTTTGCAGTGAAGTGAATCAGAGATTTTGGACGAAGCAAAATAGGAAATACATGTTCCTGGTTTATGAAGTTAGCCGTTTAGAACTTACGTGTTTTAATATATTGTCGGCTTTCCAAACAAAAATCAAAGTAAGCGAAATGGAATGTTACATAAACGGCTAACGTTAAGGAAAGAAACGAAAAAGTGGAGAACAGAAAAACGTTGATCAAATAGCGAGAAAGCAATACAAAATGAAAAGATGCAAGCTAGTTCTACGTTATATGTCCAAAAGAGGGACGTTTTGACTTTTGACGTTAACAACTATTGCAGTTATACAGTAGACAAATACGACGTCGTTGCGGCCATGTTACTTTTTTATCAGGTTGAATATTGTGATTCAATAGATAACGTACCTTCAGAGTATGACCTACAAAATTCTGAAAGACACCTGTAAACAGTCGTAAGGTGACAAGGAGCAGCGACAAAAGTACAACAAAGATAAGTGAAAAAATGTTTACAGAATGTTTTCTGACCTGAAGGTGGGAGTCCCTAATAATTATATAGTATCATACATATGTAAACCCGTTTATAAATTACAGTGCCCGGTGAATGAGAGTGATCATTCCAGATACCTTTCCTTGGCTGGGAAGGTAACCGAACAGTTCTCACAGACTATGAACACAGCCTATTTTGTTGGCTCTCTGCTCACTCAGGCTCCAGGAGGCTACCTTGCAACCAGGTTTTCTCCCTCCAGGTAAGAAAATTATCTAAACGTCTCCCTCAAGGTAAGATTTAAACTTTACTTTATTCCTCATCTCCCTCCAGGTAAGCTTTTAACCTAATTAATCCAACGTCTGCCTCCAGGTAAACTTTTAACCTAACTTATCTAACGTCTACTACCAGGTAAGGTTTTAACCTAACTTATCCAACGTCTACCTCCAGGTAAGGAATTAACTTAACGTCCCCGACGTCTACCTCCAGGCAAATTTTTACCCTAACTCATCCAATGTCTACCTCCAGGTAAGGTTTTAACATAACTTTGTTTTACGTCTCCCACCAAACTTATTCTACGTAAGGTTTTAACATACATTTGTAACTATAGTCTACGTCTCCCACCAAACTTATTCTACTTAAGAATTTAACATACATTTGTGACTTTATTCTACGTCTCCCACTTAACTTATTCTACGTAAGGTTTTAACATACATTTGTAACTATAGTCTACGTCTCCCTCCTGGTAAGGATTTAACCTACTAGTAACTGAATTCAACTAGATATATCACCGACCAGTTCCCCGCTCATTGATAACGTATTATCCTCCTTTATTTTATTATGTAATATGATAGTTATATTATCATGTGGTCTTCTATGCTCGGGTTTTAATATAAATGCTACCCTTCCTATGTCAATCTAATACCCTTAGTTATGTGTACTTTTCCTTATTATATGGTTCGGGTGGTGCTCTGTGACATATGGTGTCTGTGCTATCTGTATCCTCATCAAAGGATGTCCCTAATATCTCTTTCCTAGACAAAAATGTTGATGCAATTATGAAAATCCTTAATATCTTTATACTTGTCTTGATTTCCGGTTCTCTATCCCCGTAATTATCTTGTATTAATATTTTGTCGTATTTTCTGTTGTATATCTTTAAGATTTGTTATTTCTATCCTCGAAACGCAATCCTGGATATTTTTGTCTCCTTGTCACATGACCTGTTGTGTTTTCCTCGTTAACAGTGTGTGGCTTTGTTTACATTGTTACAGAATCTGCGGTATTTCCATCCTTTTCACCTCCATTCTGATGCTGTCGTTGCCATTTGCTATTCCTTTGAATAAGTGGCTAACCATGGTCATACGATTTGTCCAGGGAGTTGTGGAGGTAATAAGAAGTCTTTGGGTATTCTTAGTGGGGCGAGAGTTTTACGAGAGATGTACTTTCTTCTACAGGACTGTAGAAATAATTATGATTTGCTCCTAGGAACTTACTGTTAGCGTATTAAAGGTTTGTTATGATACATATAGTGCTGTAGGTTGTTGACTCGTGTAACCATATGGTCTTGTTTAGTCGGTTTTATCATTCCATGCATAGGTTATCTCTGAAATTATGTTTGGAAGATCAAAACGTTGAGGTAAACAACATGATACGACGATATAAATGTCGTGAACAGAGGTACGCCATTAATCCAGACAATTTAGTTTTGTATTCATGTTGTTCAGTTTGAGTGTTAAGTAATTAAACACAGTGGGACTAATTGATCACTTGTGGTTGCGGCTAGGGAGCGTCGGTGCCGGCCCTTAATGGCGTTATATCGGCTTGGGCCCCGCGGACTGAGAAGTCCAGGATGATAACAATCTCCTACGCAGGTATGTAAACAATGTATCACTATGATGTCCGATTTAATAATGGTCCACTACAAAAATGATAGATTTTGGTTGGTGATTTTGTGTTTGTAATTGCATTCGGTATTATCAATAAATATATATTTCTGCTTGTACGTGTCACCTGTTGAAAAATCGTCAATTGAAAACAATTGTAGGGGGGGTACTTTCGTTAAATTAAACAAGGATACACTGCACATGTACCAACTCATACCAAACAGTTGGATTTCCCCGAGTCAACGGATTTACAAAACACAACATTCCTGGAGGTGACTTAGGTTCCGTAGGCTAGTGACTTGTGTTCCGTAATAGAATATCAATAACATTCTTAAAATGTATTTAGTTCTTTCACTTAAGTAAGCTTAGCGTGATTGGGCCAGATATCCACAGGGTCAGATTTTCACGGATATGGTAGAGCCAAATCAATCAACGTAGTTAGTAAGGTTGGTCTTAATTCCACAGCAAGCGGATCATATATTTACGTTTCAATTTGACCTAGAATACATTTTCAAGGAAGTCACAGTTCCACGTTACACCGATTTAAATCCAAAATGGTCGCCAAGGGTGCCACTTTAATCAACCGTTTTTGCTGATTCTTGATCAGTACTTGGCCGTGACCAATTCTTGCTTTTTAAAACTTCGTGTTTTAATATATGACCGCCCTTTGAAAACATATTCTTTGCTTCAAAGCATCATGTTTCAAATTTTACTGACTGATTCTATCAATAGATAAACATCTTGCAAATGTTATGAAATTATTTCTTTTATTCTTTCTTTATTAATGAGAATCCCGTAAATATTTAAGCAACAACACAAATCATCTAAAATCACACAAGGCCTATCTAATTTGAGCTTATCCGACAGCCGAAAGGCCGGTCGGCTAGGCGGTGGAATAAGCGTTACACTGACAACCGCCTCTTGCGATAGGGATTAATGTTATTGCAAAGCGAACAAAGCCAATTGTGTTTACTTGTTTCAAGTATCCTCGGTTTTCGATTCTTTTTTGAATAGCTAGATATCGATTTCACAGACGTAGGTTTGTCTTATTAAGATTAATTAGCCATGACGTTTGGAATTAAGAGTATCACAAATACTATTCTCCTGGACACGTTCAAGATTTATTATAACCGAAAAGCTAATGTGGAAATCGAATGAGACCACTATTTTGAAAATCATATTTGACTTATAATAAATTTTACTGAATTATGTTTTATTTGAAATCTTATATTGCACTTTAAGTTTCAGTTCAAATATATTTAAAATAATATGTCAAAACAGTAATCGCTTTGATTGAAACGTTTTTTGAAAACAAAAGACTTTAAGGAAACTGACGTGCATTTGAAAAATTAGGCATTGAAACGAAAACATATTCTTTAGATTACACTTAGGCCATTGCCTCAAAAACTAAGGTCGCCGTTGTAAAATGAGTATCATTCAGTATCAATTAGAAATGTCATGTGAACAGCTAAGGCCCGCTGCAGAGCTGTCCCTAGACTGAGCTTGTATCTGATAATGATGGATACATGCAATTATTTATAGTTGGTATCATTTTTAGCGGATGTGAACGATTGTTTCTGTTTTTGTGAAGAGTGCTTGTCTAGTATAAAACATGTTTTCTGTCGCTCTAACAGGGGCCTACATAAGTCCGACAGTAGCCTTCTTGGTGACCGGCTTTACGTCATGTTATCTCAGCTGGCACTCCAGCCTCTTCATATACGGTGAGTTAACAGGACCATCGTTGTAGATATAGCATACGTTATCCTTAGTTGATTTCATTCTCAGGTATCATAACGTAAACTATCCTTAAAGGTATTGCAACATGGTTGTCAGATATCATAACCTTAAATTACTTGTGAGGTATCTAATTAGGTTACCTTATTATAACATTTATTCTCAAGTAATACAGTCTACTGACATATCTTTACCTAAATCACCTTGTAGTTTTATCTTATTATAAACTATATCATTTTTTTCTTTATATATATTCTATCTTAAAGTGTGCTATATATCTATTTAATGTCGATAATGTGGCCACCTGTGTGATATGTTGGAGGTAATTTTCTAATTATTATCGGTGATGTGGATGTATACCTAATTTATGGGAGGCCCTGTGTGATGTATAAGAGGGTGTTTAGTGGTACGTGTCCTGTTCATTATTAAGGTGGTAATGTGGTCTGTTTGTTTTATCTAGGCGGATGTAGGGTAACATGCCCCCTGGTGATGTATAGGAGGGTGTTTGGTGGTACGTGTCCTGTTCATTATTAAGGTGGTAATGTGGTATGTTTGTTTTATCTAGGTGGATGTAGGGTAACATGCCCCCTAGTGATATATAGGAGGGTGTTTTGTGGTACGTGTCCTGTGGATTGTTATGGTGGTAATGTGGTCTGCTTGTTTTATTTAGGTGGATGTGGGGTAACATGCCCCCTGGTGATGTTTAAGAGGGTGTTTGGTGGTACGTGTCCTGTGGATTGTTATGGTGGTAACGTGGTCTGTTTGTTTTATCTAGGCGGATGTGGGGTAACAAGCCCCCTGGTGATGTATAAGAGGGTGTTTGGTGGTACGTGTCCTTTGGATTATTATGGTGGTAACGTGGTGTGTTTGTTTTATCTAGGCGGATGTGGGGTACCATGCCCCCTGGTGATGTATAAGAGGGTGTTTAGTGGTACGTGTCCTGTTCATTATTAGGGTGGTAATGTGGTCTGTTTGTTTTATCTAGACGGATGTAGGGTAACATGCCCCCTAGTGATATATAGGAGGGTGTTTTGTGGTACGTGTCCTGTGGATTGTTATGGTGGTAATGTGGTCTGCTTGTTTTATTTAGGTGGATGTAGGGTAACATGCCCCCTGCTGATGTATAGGAGGGTGTTTGGGGGAACGTGTCCTGTTCATTATTAAGGTGGTAATGTGGTTCGTTGTTTTATCTAGGCGAATGTGGGTTAACATGCCCCCTGGTGATGTATAGGAGGGAGTTTGGTGGTACGTGTCCTTTGGATTATTATGGTGGAAACGTGGTCTGTTTGTTTTATCCAGGCGGATGTCGGGTAACATGCCCCCTGGTGATTTATAGGAGGGTGTTTGGTGGTACGTGTGCTGTTCATTATTATGGTGGTAACGTGGGCTGTTTGTTTTATCTAGGCGAATGTGGGGTAGCATGCCCCCTGGTGATGTATAGGGGGGTGTTTGGTGGTACGTGTCCTGTTCATTATTAAGGTGGTAATGTGGTCCGTTGTTTTATCTAGGCGAATGTGGGGTAACATGCCCCCTGGTGATGTATAGGAGGGTGTTTGGTGGTGCGTGTCCTGTGGATTGTTACGGTGGTAATGTGGTCTGTTTGTTTTATCTAGGCGGATGTAGGGTAACATGCCCCCTGGTGATGTATAGGAGGGTGGTTGGTGGTACGTGTCCTTTGGATTGTCACGGTGGTAATGTGGTATGTTTGTTTTATCTAGGCGGATGTGGGGTACCATGCCCCCTGGTGATGTATAGGAGGGTGTTTGGTGGTACGTGTCCTGTGGATTGTTACGGTGGTAATGTGGTCTGTTTGTTTTATCTAGGCGGATGTGGGGTAACATGCCCCCTGGTGATGTATAGGAGGGTGTTTGGTGGTACGTGTCATGTGGATTGTTACGGTGGTATTGTGGTCTGTTTGTTTTATCTAGGCGGATGTAGGGTAACATGCCCCCTGGTGATGTTTGGGAGGGTGTTTGGTGGTACGTGTCCTGTGGATTGTTACGGTGGTATTGTGGTCTGTTTGTTTTATCTAGGCGGATGTGGGGTATTATGGTCACTTGTATGGTTCCTGGTAATACACGACACTCCTGCTCAGCACCCTGGTATCGGAGAGCAGGAGAGACAGCTGTTTGAGGAGGAAGGACCAGGACATAGAGGAGGAAACAGACAAGTAGTAAGTATATAAGGGTTTTATTACTTCCTAACTTGAGACCATCTACAAGAATCATTATATCAAGACCATATATCTGACATTTTTTATAAACGAATATTTATGGCCATATGCGTCTTGGCATGGTGGGTTATTGTACATAAATATAGAGACCATAGAAGCTATATACGTAGGCACGGTATTTTGCCTATTTTTTGTCTTGTACCTAATTTCTGCTATTTTTCACTTAGGGTTTCCAAATTTTGCGAACATACTTATCTTGACTAGATGGGGTATCCCTCAGCCCCTCGTTGTCTGATTTATGACTCTCTCCTTAATGTATTGTTCGGACTAATATTTCGTTCATTTGAAACTAGGGTGCCTGAAATTGTATAGACATATTCATCCAGACACGAAGAACAGCCTTTGAATTCACCTTTGTTTAGTTTCTTTGTGACACCTGTATACTAAAGAAGTGGAATAAAAGGACTATGAATTTTGAAGTTTCCAAAAGATTGTTATATCATATACAAACATCTTCTTTTCAAAATTGTTTCTTCTATTAAAACGTTTGACTTTTTGACCATTTACACAACCATAACTCATACCAAACTAAAGGAACGCATTCGTTTTCTTATTATAAAAAGCTTTCTTTTATGATATTTGTTGTAAAAGCACAATAAATGGAAATATATTGAGCATGATTTTGTGAAAAACACAACAAATGCCAAAATGATAATGAGCATGAGTTTGTAAAAAGCACAGCAAATGCCAAAAAGAAATATACTGAGCATGATTTTGTAAAAATCACAGCAAATGCCAAAACGAAATATACTGAACTTTATTTTGTAAAAAGCTCAATAAATGCCAAAACGAAATATACTGAACATAATTTTGTAAAAACCACAATAAATGTCTAAACGAAATAAACTGAGCTTAATTTTGTGAGAATGAGTTGAGTTCGGTGACAAGATTTTCCAGCAGACTGCATGCATTCCTGTAGGAGCCAACTGGGGACCTCTTCTGGCAGACTTTTTTTTGCTTTCAAATGAGGCTGAATATATTTTGTTTCAAAAAAAGAATAACACATTTTTATTTACCATATGTTATAAAACTTTATCTGGTGAAACTTTTCGTTAAAACTGTATTTTACTATAAAGAAAACGGAGATTTAGATATGAAATTTGCGTAAAAGCAGGAGAGGCATAAATAGGTTGTATGAACTTTGCCCCCGTTCAAATGTAAATACTGCTAAACTATTATTTCTTGTCAACTTCCATGGAATACTAGTTTTGATGTTCAGAGGCAACATATCCATTACAATGTACCGTGAAAAATGACGCTAAAAGCGCAGACGACACATCCACCTCCGTAAAAAACGATGTTAAGGAGTGCAGGCAACATATCCATTTCCAAAATAATTTCCCTTACGACAAACTTTACTGACTTATGACTGTTTATCACATCTGCAGGCTTACAGTATACCATGGCGGAGTATTTTCACCAGTTTGCCAATGTACGCAATCATCGTTGGTAGCTTTTGCCGGAATTGGATCTTCGCTATGATTCTGACGGAGCTTCCGCAATATTTCCATGATGTTTTCTCCTTAAGCATAGATGAGGTACGTTACATCTGTCTGTCGTGCTATAATCATAACGTGATAACATCATTATTAATTATGATTTTACAAGTGAAATACCAAGAATGATGATACACAGGTTATTTCACCTTTAAAACTAGGTAATAGATACAGTAAACCAAAGAGAATTACATTGCATCATTCCCTGTTTATCCTTCTAAGACTCCCCGGTGATGCTAGGGACAAACAAGTTGGAAAATCATGTGTAAGGTTAACACTTTCACTGGTTTGATACAAAATAATCCCTGTTATATCCAATCAGAAAGCTTCAAAAGTGGTTCAAAAGTGGATATTCTGCATTGTTATTAATTGTGACATCACATTATTTTGGCAAATATTGAGGTCAAGCATGACAACGTCATGTTTTTAATGTGTTGGGCATCCACATTTTATGTTAAAGGGTAATTTTCTTTATTTAAATATTCTAAATCATCAGAAACTGAAATCGTTAAATTTTCGAAATATTCTGCCAAACTAGTGAAATATAAAAGGTATTAAACTTAAACCGTTTGGAATCTGTGTATATGTGTAATAATAAGACATTGAAATATATATAACCTATATATAGGCATCTTCTCTGTCTCAACCTGTCATTGGTAGATGCAAGTATACACTGTACTTCAGATATTTAACATTTTATCAAACATCACACTGGAGTGAATTTAGATAAATGGCTTGCATAAACTATAAACTCAAGGAGAAGTAAATCATGTTTTGTTTGATATAAAGAATCTGAAAATTGTTTTTTGTTTTGTTTTTCTTATTAAACATATATATATAGTGTATCCCCCCTCCTTATTTTTTTAGCAATGTGTACAAGTGATTATTTTATCCCATCATAATTTGCACTCAAGTTAAAAAAAAAACACTGGAAAGATCTAAAGTGACATCTCCATAAAAGTATAAAAAAATTAACTGGTTTTATTTCAGAATGAAATGTGGTGATCCTAACATCTTTGATAATTATATAATTGAAAATAAATAACCTACTGCACAACATTGCTCATAAAACTAAAACTGCTGTTTTGCTTCTGTATTTGCGTATATTTTGCTCACAAAACTGAAAAAACAGTTTTGCTTCTACATTTGCGTATATTTTGCTCACAAAACTAAAATAACAGTTATGGTGGTATATTTGCCTATATTTTACTCATAAAATTAAAACTGTTGTTTTGCTGGTATATTTGCCTAAATTTTGCTAACAAAACTAAAATAACAGTTTTGGTGGTATATTTGCCTACATTTTATAAAATAGTGCGGTTTTATGTTGACATTCTATTAGTATAACATTATTAAATGGTACGGAAATTACAGATCGGGTGGAGGACGGCTGTACCGGAAGTATTTATGACTATAGTAACCGTCACTGGCGGAGTCCTTGTGGACAAATTAATTAAATCCCGGAAGTGTGGCATTACTACGACTATAGGACGGAAACTGGCACAATGTAGTGGTAGGTAACGTACACATGTTATTGTAATGGATATATAAGATATATTAAAATAATAAGTATCAAAGATTGACTGTTAAACCTTTCCGTCTTCTTAGGATTCTTCAAGCGGACTGATGTGTATTTGCCACACTCTTTGACCGTCATATAAATATGTATGTTACAAAATGTACCTTTCAACAGTACAATGATATATTAAGTTCACAAACGATTGTTATTAACTCTTATCAGTGAAACATGTGAACATTATAAAAAAAAACACAATAATATCTGTACATGTACATTATGCAATATTGCATTTTCCAGGGTTTGGAATTGAAGCAATTTGCTTCTTTGTCCTGGCTACTCTTGGCAAAAGTACAGAAGATAGGAATGTGGCTGTCATTATATTGTGTGTCGGTGTAGGCTTTAGCGGGCTTGCTATATCAGGTGAGGAATTGTATAAGATGCATGAAGACTTAATAAGGCTTGCTATATTAAGTAGGGAATTGTATGAGATGTACGAGGACGTAATTAAGTAGGCTCGTTATATCAGGTAGATAATTGAATAAGATGTATATCTATCAATCTACCGTGTGTCGGTGTAGACTTAAGCGGGCTTGCTATATCAGGTAGAGAATTGAATAAGATGTATGAAGACTTCAGTAGAATTGCTATATCAGGTAGAGAATTGGATAAGCTGCATATATATTTATCTATCGCGTGTCGGTGAAGGCTTCAGTAGGCTTGCTATATTAGTTAAAGAATTGATGTTTATTTATCAATCTACTGTTTGTCGAAGTTCGTTTGAATAATGAGGGATATCTTTGGAAAACACAATTCTTCAAAAAAATAAGTAATTGATAATGAATATGATTTTGAGTGTTGCTTCGGGTGTGTGAGAGTTTCTCACATGCCACTTATCGACACGTCTTAATACAAAACTGAACCCATGATTTTAGGGATTGCAACCTTACACGTTATGCCATTTTATTAGGCAGCAAAAAGTTACCTCCTTAGTTTAATCGAGATTCACATGTTTCCAAAATCACCCTATATCCTGTAAATTTCTCAAACAAGTACCGAAGTATGTGACGTTCTTTGGAGAAAGAGGGATTGAGGCGGAAAACGAAACTTTGAATATACAATTTGTAAGATTAGTTTCTAATATATACATTAGGTTTAATTAAAGTTCAACAATCCGCTTAATATAGCCATTTCAAACACCTGCTACATAAAAAAGTAAGTCAAGTTTAAAACCTTTAATTAGACAGAATTCAGAAATGTTATTCAGATGTATTGAACTTGTACATTTCTTATTAAAATGATACATTACAACGTTAACGAAGTCTGTTATAAGGTTTAAGGTCGATGGTTTCATTAGATAGTTCACCAGCTTAAAAGAATATCAATCTCTGCTACTCTGCAACTGCTGCGAAAAAATACATAATCTAAAGCTGATTAATATTGTATTACTTATGCGGAGTTCAATCCTTATGACGGTGATGAATAAAAGCACTTGTCGTTTCAAAATGCGTAGTGTAGATATACGAAGTTAGCTTGGACTGTTGTAAACATCATAGAACTTTTCATTTACAATGGTGTTAACATGTCTAGCTCATTAATAACACCAAGTAACGTTTTTTTTAGACAACAGCCACAAATGTGATTGGCTAAGTTAACGGCGCTATGTCCCAATATCTCAATACATATGTAAATTAGTTGGGTTCTTAAAATATGAATTGAAGAATTGTTGAACCTGAATGTGGCCGTTAACCTTGGAATATAAAGGCGAACCGTTATCTGTAACCGATGTTTGATCAAGTTTACACAAAAATATAGGTTTTTAATATAATAGAGGCTGCTGCGTTCCCACACAAACTTCCTATGTATCTGGTAGGAAAGTGTATACATATGTAACATGTGTCTATCATCTGATTTAAGAAATGAAATTTTAACTTGTTTAGGTTATCAAGTGAATCCACTGGACCTTGCCCCCCAATACTCCAGTATCCTTACTGGCCTGTCCAGATGTGGCGCTTTGGGAGCAATTATGAGTACTTCAATAGCGGCTGCAATTAGAGGTAAAACAGGGGTAAGTTATATGTACATTGTATAAACAATTAATAGTGACATGTCTAAAACTCACTCATTACTCTGGTGAGGTCAAGAAGTAGCACAGCTTGACTTGTGACTTTTCATAAGCAGTTAGATTTGTCTCCCCTTTACTATATGACTTGCACTTTGTATATAAGTTGTGTCTTTTTTCAAATTTTCATTTCACTGTAAATTATAATATATTTATATGCTGATTTATACAAATGCTTGCAGGAGAGAACTGATATAGGCATAGCCTGTTGTTCAATCCAATTCATACAACATCATAAAAATAAAATGAAATTAATAATGACAGTAAAGACAGAAGAATATGTCTGATTATGGAGGTAATCCGCCCCTCTATTACGACAGAAACATCAAACATTACATATCACAACATAAAACAAAGCGCTAACATTCACTATGAAATAATACAACGTGTTCATCCGTAGTGAAAAGCGTTTGTACACGATATTAAATGCACCCATCAACAAATTTTGTTTGTATCAACGTATGGTTGTATCAAGTTTCTACAAATGTATACAGGATAAGATTTTGGTGGTTAATGGTCAAGATTGTCGCTGGAAAACCATCTGACTGTAGTTTAAATTTGCACCATAATATTGTAATATCACGTTCTACACTTGATTCGATCTTGATGGTTATCGGTCAAGGCATAAGGGTCAACGATCTAACTTGACCATTTTTGCAGTAAAAAGCATATGTACACAAACGAGTCCACTGATTACAAACTATGTCTTGTACAGCAATTCCTTATGGGTTAGGGAGGTATATCTTTGTTTTCATTATTTCAAATTGATATACATGTGGCTTTTTCTGTCATTGTTTTAGCTGAGGTGGCCAAAATGCGCGACAGTCGTCCTTCTCCTCTATTTGCTTTATTTTTAAATCCCGTAGCTCCAGAACGACTGTTTTGATTCCAACCAAACTCGGTCTATAGCACCACTCATTGTGGTGTTAACAGAATGTATGGCTATCCGTTGCAGAAAGGCAGGACCAAAATAAGGAAATAAGGGTTATTGATAAAACGGTAATACATCTGCACCGGATACTGAATTAAGAGATTTGCACCAAAACAAATGGTCAGTAGTCTTCGGTGTAGTTGTGGATTGACAATAATTTAATAGATGATTTTCTTTTTGAAAGATTACACTATCGATTCTCCTAAACGAATTTAAACTAAATTCAAATTGAAACTTAAGTTGGCAAAGTGAATTCAATGTTTGACTAACGGATGTTGTGGTATTCCCTGGAGACAATGGGCAGGATTCATGATCAATAGAACAAATAATAGTGAAATCCTTTTTTTTCTTTATTTTTTTCCCCTTCAGTTCATCAAAAAGGCATTTAAACCTTGTTTTGTCTTTACCTGGGGCAGAGGAGAAGATCAAGTCAGGGAATCAAAGCTTAATCAATACGATGTTTTTCGCATTTTTTCAACAAATATTATGCCAAAATAAAAAATAAATCATCTAAAGACCATATTTTGTCGGGTTCATTGGAAATGCAAGATGTCTGCCTTGGCATTTAACATTTTACACGTCTGGCTGATTTTCCGAAACTTCAAATGTTCCTCCCATGGACCTAACAATTTGTTGTTATTTTTGGAACCAATATATAGTTTCAGATGACCACCTGTTAGCTGGTAGGATGAGACATGTTTAACTACTTCTCTTTTTCCACCAGGCCACTTATAACCAGACTATATTTGAATAACACTTTCGTGGTCCTGAATATGTGCTGTAATTTTTAGTTGAATTCTTAACAAAAATAGCCACCATTGCCTTTCATTGATTTTAATATCATACAAATGTCCCATACCGTGTCCTCGGCAAGTGTTGTCAATCAATTATACGAGTTAAAAAAAATCTGAGACTGTTTGAAGTGAGAATAGAATGTTATCGTCTACTTTTTATTCAGATAGCAAATGAAACATTTTAGCGATGCGTGTTAAATATATTCAGCGTTTGGTTTTTTCTTTCTCTTCTCTTTTAGGATGTGCAGAATTGGCAGACAATATTTTGGATAGCCGGAGCGGTACACATGGCAGGCGTGGTTTTCTACGGACTATTTGCTCAGGGAACAAGACAAGATTGGGGGCAATCAGCAGAAAACAGGAACTTGATAAATCCCGTTGAAAACAATGTGGACACAAGCGACTATAACATAAACTTTGCCCGCAGAGATCACATTTTCAGCAGATCGGCCGAGTACGGATCTATCCGTGAAGGCGAGGAAGACTTTATGAATAACGATAGAATTTTCTCACAATCTGTAGACAACGGGGCTCTAAGAAGGTCTTATGATGATGGAGCACAAGATTGGTTTCTTCTGTCGATATAACTTGGTACAAAGATCGGTAGTATATTGATTTTGGTGATAATTAAGCATTCACCAGATTGTTTAATAAAGTGATGTTTAGTTTACCATGTAAGGTAAGGAAGAACGGAACTATTTCATGCCCTGAAACGAATTTTGGGTAAGGTAACTATTTCATAATTTTTGATTCGTTACAGAGAAATTATTCATGTCATAGAGTGACTATTGGGTAAGGAAGGAAAATAATTTTATCTCATATAGTGACATTTTGGTCAGGTAAGGGAGAACTTTTTTTCTGTCAAAGGGTGAATTTTGTATCCAAATTATTAATTGAAACGTCATTTGAATGAATCAATAATAAGTTTTAAGGATATCCGTACCACTGCCAAAAACGTGACTACGCATTTGGCATTGTTATGTCCAAAACAAAATTAAGGGGAAGTTACTGTACATGTATATACGAAAAACCACATTGCGAACAGGGATTCTTCACATTTGTGAAGTTCATAATAAATTCAAGTTTTAAATTTGTAACTATGTTTCTAAAAATACATTCTGATATTTTTTTAACTTTTTACTCAAAGAGGATTTTTCATATTTCTCATATTGCACCAAGGGCGAATTGACAATGTCCTCAAATAATAGTCATCGCTGTATAGTGTACAAATTTATGAAATACAGGTTAACGCCATGGTCAAAATATAGACAAAGCCATTAACTGAATTATTTCAATTATTCTAGTAATTAAACATAACACAGTCTTCCTGATTTTACATGGGATTCGCAAGTCGGGCTTTATTTTCCAAACATCTAATAAAAATGTATAATGGAGCGTTTGAATAAATGTCGTTGAAGGTACCGTTTTTCCCATATGACCTGAAAGCGGAATCAGAGGTCTTGAGTCGCATACTGTCAAGATATCTATTGTTCGAATCCGCTTGAATGCGTTTTATATTTTTGTTTTTAGATATGTGTGATGCTTCTTTTTATAACAAAAAGTGCATTTTTTACAATCATTTACTGTGGTATTGCTTATATTTGTGGTTAAAAAGTTATTTGACAAAAATAATTTGTTTATTTTGTCAAAGTACCTTATATTTTTACATAATGAATTGTTTTCTCGATCAAAAGAAGGTGCATTTTGTTTTTTTCAGTTTGATACATTGATGAATGAATGATATTGGTAACTTCCCGACAGCTAATAGTGTTTATTATGATTTACATGATGCAGATCGGTTTGATAAAACTAAAAGTTATTTCTTTATGAAAGGAAGGAAAACCAAGAAAAACGGAGCTTTCATTGACGCCGACCAATTGGAAATGCATCAGTATTTTTAATTCGATATCATAAATCATTACAAAAATATCAGTCTATCGGTTTGGTTGACATCTTATAATTATATGCCAATTATAGAGGAACTGGTGTCATAAGTATATCCTAACAATATCTTATTTTCGGTCGTGCACTGGATCACCAGCCACAAACACGATGTAAGTGTCATGAGAACAACAGGATGAGTTATATTAGAGTTTATAAACATTTAAAAAAAACATAAGAAAACATATCAAAGGTGATCTGAATGAGCTTGATGTTTGTCAACATTTGTAAAAACCATCTGCAACGGAACTGACGATTTATGTTGACGTAAATGACAAACTGCACGAGTACGATGGTCACTCTACTACGTAACGTTTTCTGAATTAAATATAGATAAATCAGAAGAAGAGACACATTATAGCGTGCAAAGTTCAAACAATGCAAGTGGCCTTCACAATATTTTAAAGGAATATGACATGTTTTATTCTATTTAATGATATACTTTGAATGGGTCATTTTTTCTGAGACATTGTCTAAATGTAATAATGTGTCATTGTTTAAATGGTGATTGTAAAGATATAAATAATTACAGGAAAACTACCCTGGCAAGCTGCTTAGGGAAACTTAATAAATTTGTATCGATGATATTAGGCCTGCGATGTAGGACAAACAATATAGTAAAATATCAGCCGCTATGTTTTGAAAAGTTTGTTGAGGAACGTCAAAGGTGAGCTGTGCAGGAAAACGCTCGGGTATATATGGGGAAATGTTACTGGTGCTGACAGGTTGTTCGCTTTAATAAAACAATGATGGGCTGATATTTTTCAATAAGAGCGTGAAGAAAAAACAGAACAGAACATAAAACATCCGCGAATCTAAATATATTATTGTATACAGCAAATATTCACGATACTTCATTTAATACCAATAAATAAGGAGAATATCAGCAAGATATCATAAAAAAATCCATTACCCATTAGGTTGATAACAAAACACTGAACAGAATCTTAGAGTATGTAACGTAATTAATCTAAATGATTTAAAAAATGAGTTTCATTTTCCTATGAAATATCCATGTTATTCTATGGCTTGAACGTTTTTGGGAGATTTGCTCAGTGTTAGACTTCTAATTTAAAAAATCCAGCGGACTAAGCAGAGTATATCAAAACAACTTCATGCAAAAAAGGAACCCATGTATTGTAAATTGTCAGCAGTGTTTGTTGTATGAATTTGTAATTGTATTGTGCATTATTTGTATAATGTTGTCTGACGTAGTACTGTAAACAGTACGCTTGTGGTACTTAGTAACCGATGAGACTCGAGGTAATACAGAACTTTAACTCGAGTTGACATTTTTCCTCCATTTTCATGGTATCGTCAGAAATTGGTACAAAGACATTCACATTCAAAACCTTCAGTCCGTATTACATCATTTCTTACTATTTTATTATCTCCGAAATAAACATCACGCAGCAAAACATAAAACTATAGGTGCCGGAAAAAAGTATTCTGAATTAGGCTGCACCAACCAGGACACGTGATGATATCCACCGATACTTTTATGTTCTTCATTCATGTGAACCCTCAGTGTTACGAGCCGGGTGACGATATAGCCACGGAGCTCTCTTGACGCAGGAATGTTGCAGGACAGTCATTTTGACTACAAACTTTAAAATGGTAAGACTTCTGAAAGATCCTGATGATCACATACCTGAAAAACAGGAGAAGACATAACAAATGTATAAAGTCGTTATAAAATTGTCTGCTAGCCAAACCTTTCCCAACTTTTGTATACAATATAAAAATGAATGAAGCAGTCTTATCAATGCCAATTATTATGCACTAATGTACTGATGACTCCACTGTATATAACACGTACTTGAATGTTGGATACAAATACTTCATTGTGATTATACAAAACAGTGGGATATTTCAAAATACATCTTAAAGGGTCTGAATCAATTTTAAAATGCTATTGAAAGTATTGAATGACCCAGACGACAAGAAACAAACAACAAATTAAATAGCCTACCTACTAGCTACTATTATAAACACAATTCGTTTTAATATTATTATAATTAAATTGTTATCTAATAACAACTACATCACAACAAACCAAATGAATAAATTATGTCATATGAAGCAGACAATGCTGGTTAAAGTTAGTGTTAGTGCTCCAATGTATTTCTCAATTTAAGTTCACGAAGTGGAAACATAGTAAAAATGTTATAATAGAATCACTGATCCATGTTTAATAGCATAGCAAATAAAATAACTTTAATATTGGCTGATAATCATTTAATATCGCTGATGGATTGTACTTTGTTTAGAAGGAACTAATTGAGACTGAAGTTTGTTTTAAATTTGATTTTAACTACATTTATACTAGTAGTATCATTGATAGTCGTAGTTAGTCGTTCAATATAATAAATAATAGTACATCATACACTGTATTACATTTGTTTAAATGACACAAGCAGCTGTAGATCTACATTTTCATTAAAACATTTAGAAAGCATTAAACATTACAAATAAAATCATTAACAATGTGTTGTCCGTCTTACACTTGTGTCGAGGGACACAACCAGAACCATACCTGGGAAGTTACTGCTATATTATTCCACTTGTGTCGAGGGACACAACCAGAACCATAACTGGGAAGTTACTGCTATATTCTCTTCATGAACAAAACATCGTCATCGACTAGAACTTATTTTGTATGATTATTACAGTAAGAATGATTGAAATCACTGTTTGTATGATTATTACAGTAAGAATGATTGAACCCACTGTTTGTATGATTATTACAGTAAGAATGATTGAACCCACTGCTTGTATGATTATTACAGTAAGAATGATTGAACCCACTGTTTGTATGATTATTACAGTAAGAATGATTGAACCCAATCAAAAAATCTTTTATTAAAGAAAGTAAAAAAATGAAGTTTCTAACAGTCTGAAATGATAAAAGGCGACATTCACATTCTAACAAGAGACTATTGAAGGTGTAGTTATAAGGACTACATGTAAACACGGAGTTCAACTTGAGTCTGATCTTATGTTGAATAACCGACCCACGACGTGAGGTGACACTTAGTGCTGGTGTATTTTTTAAATTCTACCAATTCAGTGTCCATACTCGACTCGCTGAGTGTTATTGTTAAACCAGAGGTCGATGTATAGACGTACAATGCACACTGAATAAACCCATATTTATTCATACAGGTATAATGACAATATCATGACAAATCGTCACCAATTCCTCCATAGTGTCGTTACTAAATAGCCTTTTTTCACTAAACTGTTCCATACACCAATGCAAGGATAATAATATTTGTTTTAACTCAATATATAAATTTAGATACAATAGCCGATTTAACAACTAACAACTGTTATCCTTCGCAGGACTCGTAGGTTTATTATAAAACAAATGGTGCTGTCAAAATAACATATCATCAAACTTCAAAGTAACGCGATACACAAATGGAAAATTGATTACAATATTCGCTGTTGAAAAGACCGCATAACATCTGAGTTTTGTCTCAGCGCAGTTTCAGAAGTGGTTTTGTTTTGCAACTAAGACATTCGTCATGGACGAAGATTCTGTGAAGTGTGGAGCACGGAAGTTGTGAAAGTTTCATTGTTCACTGAAAACAACCTGTTTTGGAATTATTTAATGTTGAGGAACACCTTCACAATATAAGAGGAATGGTTGTTAAAGGGAATCTGGCCACTTTGAGAAAATGCCCCGCGAGAAACAAAAGGAGACATGGTAGAAGACAACAAGATAAGTAAACAGACGGCCATTATGAACTTTAAATCGAAAACGAGTATCTTCAAAAACTCCATTGCTGTCATGATAAACCTGAAATCGTCCAGTGCCAATATCAGTAGAATTGAACAACAAAACATACAAATGAAATATTTGATGATAGAAGATAAATCTTAAGGCCCTTTGTTAAAGTAGAAAAACCATGGCTAGGTGACCACGCAGATTACTAATGGAATCAGTATTGATTTCGATGGCCAAAGTTACAACTACCCCGAGAAAAACCATCCATAGCCAATTTAGCCTGTTTTTGTGTTATGGATTCTTAAAAATTTCCTAACCAACCACCGTATAGTGTTAAATTTCAATTCAACTTGCATTCAATTCAACTCAAGGGTCGTGGTTATTACTTCCTGTTTTGTTCTCGCTCTCTCTGTTTTTGCCGTAGGGTATGCCGATAGATGTAAATATTCTGTTTGATTTCCTCTATATTCGGTGTTCTATATTTACACCTGCATGAGTATATTTTTCTTTCTTAATTTCTTAATAATAAGGATACATAAGTAAACGCTGTCATACAGTAGAGTGTCTTCTAGACCACAAATAAATAAAGAACTTAACCTAGAGAAATGAATGCAACATCGATCTGTTCTCAAAAGTATTCTGAGCAGTCCCAGAAAAGATGTATTACAGATTCTTTGTTCACCATACAGATTACAAAATTACGCTTCAACTAGGTTCATTGTCATGAGACTAGTTTTTGTATTCAGAATACGATGAAGTATTTTAAATTGGAAGGATTGTAGGCTAGAGTCGTCTGTGATAATGAAAGGAAGTTGAAAAAAAGTATTCCAACTTTCCTAATGGAATTCCTCGTCCATATATTTGCCTGCCATTTTACCACTGGTTTTTTTATCGGAACTAAGCATATAAAATATCTCGTGATCGTTTCGTAACTTTTCAGTAAATTAAAAATATTTGTTGTCTGTAGATGCTAACTATTAACTTTAATTCTTAATATCTTGTTTCCACTTTCGGGGAATGGCCGTAGAAGTATACAAATTATGTCTTAACATCACATTTGTGTTTAAACTAGCTATAGTTTACTAACCCCCCCCCCCCCCCCCCCCCATCATTGACTAGGTCATTAACATAGGTACTTTTTTAAATTATTTTGTCATTAATTAGTTCTTTCGTATAATCATAATGGTTCTGCAAGTAGTGCACCGGGGTTACGGAGGATGCACGCCACAAGAAAGCCCATATTTGAATAACATTATCCAGATAGAGTTTCGATTTTCCTTCCTATACAATTTATACCACATCGTCTTTAAGATATAGACAGTTGACCCTTTTCTAAATCTTTATCAAGTGAATTCAAAAGAGGTTCAATGATATCAGTCCATTTTTTTTAATTCAGTCGTGAAACCATCCAATCCTGGTTATTTTGTGTTACTCGTGTTGTTCTTGTGTACGCAACCCACTTTCCATTTGTCTAGCTTGCTCTAATGTTATCTTAGTACAATGTATTACGTAGATTTTCTTCATTGCAAAAATGCACAAAATATTTCCTCCAAATTGGGTCCTATATTTCGATGTAATTTTCGATGTATCTTGTTCTTTTATAATATCAGCTATATCCATTACCCCGAATTTTGTCCATTATTATTTTCCGTAAAATGCCTTTTCTCTTTAATCCAAAAGAAGATGCAATACTTGGTGGTCAGCTAAAACAGTGTCGAACAGTGTAAGGTTATCCTACAGGTGCGGTCCATTTCTATGATCCTTTAATGTAGCACTTTTGCTTTTAAGAATGGTTTATTACTGTGGTGGGTGTCATAAATTCGTATTCAATCAGCTCAATTTATGTTTTCCTTTTTTCTATGCATGTACTGCTAGGATGGGTCGGTCCATCATCGATTGTAAGGTAATGTAGGCCATCTCCTCCGTCTAGATCTAGTTATATACACGCGATGATGTAGACACACCTCCTTCTCTTAATTGGTGACATGTGACATACTGTATATATATATATATATATTTGTGTGTGTGTGTGTGTGTATGTATGTTTAAGTTATATTTACTTACGTGACTGATTGGTATAGATCCGGTTCTGTCCTGTCTATGGATTATATATAAGTTATATTTACTTACGTGACGGATTGGTATATGTCCGGTTCTGTCCTGTCAATGTATTATATATAAGTTATATTTACTTACGTGACGGATTGGTATATGCCCGGTTCTGTCCTGTCAATGTAATATATATAAGTTATATTGACTTACGTGATGTATTGGTATAGGTCCGGTTCTGTCCTGTCTATGTATTATATATAAGTTATATTTACTTACGTGACGGATTGGTATATGTCCGGTTCTGTCCTGTCAATGTATTATATATAAGTTATATTTACTTACGTGACGGATTGGTATAGGTCCGGTTCTGTCCTGTCTATGTATTATATATAAGTTATATTTACTTACGTGACGAATTGGTATATGCGGAGTTATGTCTTGTCTATGTATTATATATATAAGTTATATTTACTTACGTGACGGATTGGTATATGCGGAGTTATGTCCTGTCTATGTATTATATATAAGTTATATTTACTTACGTGACGGATTGGTATATGCGGAGTTATGTCCTGTCTATGTATTATATATATAAGTTATATTTACTTACGTGACGAATTGGTATATGCGGAGTTATGTCCTGTCTATGTATTATATATAAGTTATATTTACTTACGTGACGAATTGGTATATGCGGAGTTATGTCTTGTCTATGTATTATATATATAAGTTATATTTACTTACGTGACGGATTGGTATATGCGGAGTTATGTCCTGTCTATGTATTATATATAAGTTATATTTACTTACGTGACGAATTGGTATATGCGGAGTTATGTCTTGTCTATGTATTATATATATAAGTTATATTTACTTACGTGATGAATTGGTATATGCGGAGTTATGTCCTGTCTATGTATTATATATAAGTTATATTTACTTACGTGACGAATTGGTATATGCGGAGTTATGTCTTGTCTATGTATTATATATATAAGTTATATTTACTTACGTGACGGATTGGTATATGCGGAGTTATGTCCTGTCTATGTATTATATATAAGTTATATTTACTTACGTGACGAATTGGTATATGCGGAGTTATGTCTTGTCTATGTATTATATATATAAGTTATATTTACTTACGTGACGGATTGGTATATGCGGAGTTATGTCCTGTCTATGTATTATATATATAAGTTATATTTACTTACGTGACGAATTGGTATATGCGGAGTTATGTCCTGTCTATGTATTATATATAAGTTATATTTACTTACGTGACGAATTGGTATATGCGGAGTTATGTCTTGTCTATGTATTATATATATAAGTTATATTTACTTACGTGACGGATTGGTATATGCGGAGTTATGTCCTGTCTATGTATTATATATAAGTTATATTTACTTACGTGACGAATTGGTATATGCGGAGTTATGTCTTGTCTATGTATTATATATATAAGTTATATTTACTTACGTGACGGATTGGTATATGCGGAGTTATGTCCTGTCTATGTATTATATATAAGTTATATTTACTTACGTGACGGATTGGTATATGCGGAGTTATGTCCTGTCTATGTATTATATATATAAGTTATATTTACTTACGTGACGAATTGGTATATGCGGAGTTATGTCCTGTCTATGTATTATATATAAGTTATATTTACTTACGTGACGGATTGGTATATGCGGAGTTATGTCTTGTCTATGTATTATATATATAAGTTATATTTACTTACGTGACGAATTGGTATATGCGGAGTTATGTCCTGTCTATGTATTATATATAAGTTATATTTACTTACGTGACGAATTGGTATATGCGGAGTTATGTCTTGTCTATGTATTATATATATAAGTTATATTTACTTACGTGACGGATTGGTATATGCGGAGTTATGTCCTGTCTATGTATTATATATAAGTTATATTTACTTACGTGACGGATTGGTATATGCGGAGTTATGTCCTGTCTATGTATTATATATATAAGTTATATTTACTTACGTGACGAATTGGTATATGCGGAGTTATGTCCTGTCTATGTATTATATATAAGTTATATTTACTTACGTGACGAATTGGTATATGCGGAGTTATGTCTTGTCTATGTATTATATATATAAGTTATATTTACTTACGTGACGAATTGGTATATGCGGAGTTATGTCTTGTCTATGTATTATATATATAAGTTATATTTACTTACGTGACGGATTGGTATATGCAGGGTTCTGTAGTTCGGCTCTTGCCATTGTCCGGACACGAATGGGTTTGGAGGCCTCTTTTCCTACAGAAATAGGCTGGATTTTCCCTTCAACATTTCCTTGATGAATTTTCGTTTTCTTTACAGTGGGGTCATGTGAATCTTCTAACGCTATCCCGAAGGTTGGGTCAAACCATGAACTTTGTTGTGTTGGAAACACATTTCTGGAGAGGAAGTTTTCCGTCATTCCTGGAATAGTTTGTGACAGAAACTGCACTCCAGGAGGAATGGGTGGACGAGCCATTATCGGGTTCCAGTTGACGCGGAACGGATTTTGTGAACGGTTCCGGCTGCGTGGTGTCTGAGAGAATAGTGGTGGAAATACATTGTCTGCTTGTTCAGTAAACATGTTTCGCTGTTGAGAAACTTGCAAAAAGTTCGGTGGAGTAGGGATTTGATCATTATTCCTGATTGGAGAATGCGTTAAGATGTTACTTGTAGAAGAAACAGGTGATGGAGGCGGCAAAAGGAAAGGACTTGTGTTGGCATTGGACCTGGATGACGTTAGCAGATTCATAGATGGTGTCGCTTTAACTCTCATCTGCAAAGCTGCATTAGCGCTGATTGGGTTAGAAATAGCGTTAAAGAACGCGCTATCCATGACATCGAGGTCCATAATTTCATTCAACCCGAAAAACATGAGTGGGTCGTGTAAAGCTCCTGCCATGTTACCCATTAGATCGAAAGTCGTGGTCGGATTGAGTGGATGTTGAGGGGGAATTGCTGACAATGGGGGCTGTGAACTCTGTGGGGTAAATGCTGGCAGTATTGAAGTAGAAAGCTTCGGTAAAAAATAATTTTGATCGGTTACATCCCCGCCCGTGTTAGTCAATGATGGAATATTCCGAAAACTCTGACTGAATTGTTGATTCTCTGAGGTTGAAGAAAACGTTTGTGCATTGGTATTCGTTGTTTTGAAATTGTTTGAACCTCTCAGAACCGCTAGGTTTCCTAATTCCTCAGCTCTCATCTGTGAAACATCGAATACTGAACCCGACTCTTTTAAAACAGTTGGGTCGGTCGTTCCAGAAACTGTTCCCGCCAGTAACTTTGATGATCCAAAATGAACAGAATCTCTGGGCACACCAGCACGACTACCCTCTGAAGGGCTGACACCTTTCGATTCTAGCGTTGGTGCGATATCAGCTTCATTATCAAATAAAGTCGAGGGCGGTTCAGTTGTCAACTGTTCACCAAAATAAGAAAACACCCGATTAGCTCCTTGATCAACGTTTCCGTTATATGTTGGGTCCAAAAAATCAATCCTGTTTTCATTTTTAAAAATCCCGTTGGATAGGTTGCTATTTTTTGTGTTAGCATTTGCAGGATTTTCCCTCTCGGCTATGGACTGAGTCGGACGGCTTGTCCCGATATTGAACAATGGCACAGCAACTTCATTATTTAAACCAGAAAGAAAACTATTTCCGAAGTTCTGACTATTTGGTTGATTAGCAGGGAAAGTGTTTACAGTATTGAATCTAGCGGGGAAATTATTCCCATTGTTAACTTCCATTATATTTCCAGTACTTCTATTCTGTGGAAAGATATTATTTCCAGTGTTGAAGTAAACTGGGAAATATCTGCCGGCATTGAACATCAAAGGAACACTATTTCCGGTGTTTAAGTTGCTAGGGACTTCGATTCTTGTATTATATGTCAACGGTACGTTTCCTGTGGTACTGATTCTTATAGGTAAACCGTGTCCGATGTTGGGCCGAGGAAGAGGAGGAGGAGGTCTGTTAAGGTTTGGAAGCATGGAGAATCCACGGGGACCAGCACTGCCTCGAGGAGGAAATGTCGGTCTGTTTAGGTGTGGAAGTATTGAAAAGCCCGGCGGACCAGGACTGCCTCGAGCAGAGTGAATACTAAATACTCCGCCTACAAAACAACGATAAACATAAATTAAAAAACAAATCCTGAATACAATATCCGTAATTCAAAAATACCATTTTACTGGATTGACCGGTTTTACTCTAAACAAGATAATGGAGACTACAGATACCTGAATTAAACTTTTATCGACGGATTGGACACTAAAGCCTGATGTCAAAGTTTTTGAGACTATTCAACAGATCCTCACTATTATGACATCATTTAACGCCAATGTCGTCAAAACAGGGAACTGTTCTTAAATATCTAACAAAAGCTACCACAGTTTGTTTGGCTCCCACACTTGTACTGCATTTTACAAAACGTTTATTTCTTTTTCTCAAACGCCCAACAAGTTGGTAAAACGTGAGCGTAACGATAGATACCCGGGAACAGAAGAATAGCAAAACGAGTATGGAAAACGATAAGATGAGAATCTCCGATATCAGACCGGGTACATCAGACAAGGTCAGTGAAGCTATGGGTAACCTCACTATATGGTTAGACCAGTTCAGTAGAGGTCAGCGTATATACATGGGTAACCTTACTATAGAGTTATACCAGGTCAGTAGAGGTCAGCGTATATACATGGGTAACCTTACTATAGGGTTAGACCAGTTCAGTAGAGGTCAGCGTATACACATGGGTAACCTCACTATAGGGTTAGACCAGTTCAGTAGAGGTCAGCGTATACA